GTAATGGCGGACACCCCTCCCCCACAGAGCTGGACCATCCCAGGTTCAGCTGTGCTTGCTGTGAAACTCTCAATTCAGAGAGTTTCTGATTGCTGTTCTTTTGTGAGGGTGGGACCAGCTGAGCCTGATCGCCTGGCTCCCTGCCTCAGAGCCTTTTTTTTTTTTTCAAGTTGGTGTTCCAGTCGCCTGTTGAAGAGGTGCCGGGATCTGTGTGTTTTCCCCTGCGGCAACTCGCTGCACTGGCTTAAACAGCGGCACTGAGATTCGTGGAGCTTTTTTTTGCCCTGGAGTCTACTGTCCTGGTTCCCTGTTCAGTCCTCTTTTCAAACAGATGAATGGGCGACTTCCCATGGCTCCAATCGCCAGCCAAATGGGTACCCGGACCAGTGTATTTTGTACAGAGAACCATTGCTCCAGGGCGCTGACAAAGCAGCAGCCCGGGGCAAAGCAGCGGTGCCAGCCGACACAGCCGCGCTGGCCAAAACAGCCGCGCTGGTGACCCGTGGAGCTCCTCCATCTGGGAATTTCCGTCTATGGGCAATAAAAATGCAGCGTCCACTCACCCTCTGTGCTTTCACAGGGAGCTGCAATCCTGAGCTGTTCCTAAACGTCCGTCTTGGATCCACCCGTCTTTTGCTAATTTTTAAAATATGGCATTATTAATTGAAAAATTCCAAGTAAAAACAGTTGTTTCCAACCAGTACTTTGCTACCATTATTCCACTGTCTTCTGGATTCATTTTTGCTGCTGAGAAGCCAGTTGTCTAACTCCCTTGTCATTGAAGTTGCCTTCTCTTTTTACATATCAAAAAATCTTTGGCTTTGGTGTTTTTAGACTTTTTACAATAATCTTAAATGTGCATTTATTTTTATTTATCATTTTTGAAAGTTGTTATGCTTTCTTAATGAGGGCACTATACTATTCCCAGAACTATGTATGTTCTTAGAAATATCCTTGTTTTTTTCCTCTCTTGGGCACTGAAAGCCTTGCTACCTGTGTCTGCCATAGGATCATAAAGATTAATATATTCATGCCTTTTACACTCGTTCATGGTGGGAATCTGTTCATCCCCCATATTCCAGATTGAAATAACAAAATTCTCAGTACATGGCATTTCTTACTACTTACTACCTTTCTCCATCTGTGTTCTTTGATTTAGGACTACGAGCTTAGAATCCCTTTATATCTCCAAGAAGGTACTTAACCCTGGGTATAAGGTATATTCTTTTCAGAGAATGTGAGGAGAGAATTTAATTTTTGCCAGGTTCACCATCTATTAAGGAACTTCTTAAACTAAAATCAGCCTTTCCCCCTAAAGCAGTTTGTGTTTTATTCTACTTGGAGCCAAGACTGATAAATAAATTTTAGTTCCATCTCATTTTGTATTGAGTTTTTTTAAAAAAATATTTTTTATTAGCTTGCCCACTAAAGGTATCATGTTTTGGAAGGCTAGTATCATGTTTCTCAGGACCGTGTGACCACTGCATTTTCTTTTCCCCATAAATGGGCGATTTAAACTAAAACTCTAGGTAACCATGGATTGTTAAGTACTCTCAAGGTAATTTTTGCTTTAGCTCTCACTGGACTCACTGAACTATATGTCTCTGGATTCATGATTTGTCATTATTTTCGGCTTTAGAGAATTTCTCCTACATTTTTATAAGCTGTGCTATTCCTTTAAAAATATTAAAATAATTTTTTCCATCACTTTCAAGAGTGTTGTTTTGGGGATGTCCTTTGTTATTTCTAGTGTAGTGTATCATTCTCTTGCAATAGAACACACAGTTTTGGAAACAGGGCCACCATCCCTCTTCAGAATGACCAGCTAATTAGGCTGGGACTTGTGACTGATTAACTACTTTGTTATAGGGAGAGGCTGGAGAGATGATTGAGTTGTGGTGGTAATTATGGGCAAGATGGTAATATAGGGGAATTCCATCTACTGAAGGCAGAGAGCATTGCTAGGAAATATTAAACCGTATTACCTATAGACATCTACTTTCAAAAGAAGTATATAGGCTTCCAGCGATCAGAAATGAAGTAGAAAACCCAATCTCTGAGCAGCTGATATTTTGATGATTCATGGTATTGGGACTAAACTATATAATGGCAATTTCTGTTCCTTTCGGGGGCTAAAATTTGACTCACTGCCAATGTTCAAAGGTTGAAGAAGCACTAACCACTGTTTCATGGTTGTTCCTGTAGTTGGTCAAGGAAAGACAAATTGAAAATTGGAATGAGCCTCTGTGTAATTGATTAGACCTGTGACTTTTGAGAAAGACAGGTTACAAGAGTTCTAAAGCCCTAGTTCTGAGTTGTGGTCCTGAGAAGACTAGGAAGTGGAAACTATAAAGATTATAAACATGGGATGCAGAAGATGAATTCCCACCCAGAGTATGCCCACTAATGAAAATTACTAAACGGGAGGCAATCTAATGTGATTAGAAACAAATAATGAGATATTTTACCTGTGGGGAAATTGAATCAATTTAGCTATTATAGTTAAAAAATTTTGAACACATAAATGGTGGAATACCTTCCATGAACAAACTAGAAGTTTATGATACCAAGTGCAAAAGTTTTGAAGCAAAAAGGAAGTAAAAATCTTGAAAAAAATCCTGAAAAAAAATTCTTTGGAATGAAAACTTTCTTATAGAAGTATAAACAGAATAACACAAAACAAAACAAAAAACAAACAGAATATTGGAAGCAGTTGACCAGAGTAGTTAATTGGATTAAAGAATAAAGGAGGTTGGGGCCGGGCATGGTGGCTGCTTGTAATCCCAGATCTTTTGGAGGCCAAGGTGGGTGGATCACTTGAGGTCAGGAGTTTGAGACAAGCCTGGCCAACATGGCAAACCCCCATCTCTACCAAAAATACAAAAAAGTAGCCGGGCATAGTGGTGAGTGCCTGTAATCCCAGCTACTTGGGAGGCTGAGGGAGGAGAATTGTTTGAACCCAGGAGGCAGAGGTTGTAGTGAGCCAAAATTGGGTCACTGCACTCCAGTCTGGGTGACAAAGTGAGATTTCACTCAAAAGAAAAAAAAAATACAGGAAGTTGGAATTGATAAGGTGTACACATACTTACACACATACACATATGATATTAAGATATTAAGATGTTATAAGCCAGGGGAGATTGATTGAGCAGTGCCATTATATACCTAATTGGATTTTTTGTTTCTTTTCTCTTTTTGGGACAGGGTCTCGATCTGTCACTCAGGCTATAGTACAGTGGCATGATCTCAGCTCACTGCAACCTTCACCTCCTGAGTTCAAGCGATTCTTCTGCCTTGGCCTCCCGAGTAGCTGGGATTAAGGCACGTGCTACCATGCCAGGATAATTTTTGTATTTTTGGTGACATAGGGTTTGGCCATGTTGGCCAGGCTGGTCTTGAACTCCTGACCTCAGGTGATCCACCCACTTCGGCCTCCCCTCTGATTGGATTTCTAACATGGGGATCTAGGGGATATTCCAAGAGATGGAACCTAAGATTTTGTGGTATTTCAGGCAAGAAATAATTTTCAGTATTGATAGTTAACTAAATTCTGTCAAGCTAAATGAAAATATAGTCTACCCCTAGACACATTATAGTAAACTGTAGAACACCAAAGGCAAATCAACATTTTAAAAATATACTAAAATTGGCCAGATGTGGTGGCTCACATCTGTAATCCCAGCACTTTAGGAGGTCAAGGTGGGTGGATCACTTGAGCCCAGGAGTTCCAGACTTGCCTGGGCAACATGGTGAAACACTGTCTATAAAAAAAATACACTCGAGCCTGGGATGTTGAGGCTGCAGTGAGCCATGATCGCACCACTGCACTCCAGCTTGGGCGACAGAGTGAACCCTGTCTCAAAAACAAACTATCTCTCTACACACACACACACACACACACACACACACACACACGAACAGCCAAATCACATATAAAAGGAGTAACAACTTGATTGACAGAAGGCATCCTGCAACAACAAAAAATGGCAAAACAACAGGCTAATATCTTTAAAGTACTGTAGTTAAATATCATTTTTAAAATTAAGAATGAATGTATAATTAAACATTTACAGACATACAATTCTAAGAAAGTTTATCACACAAAAACATGCTCAGACTTACAGAAGCAAGGTAGTTGATCACATATAAGACACAGTGGAAAGAAATATTAAAGGATATTCTTCAGCAAAAAGAACACTGAAGCTAGAATGAGGGAATGGAGTGTAAGAATAAAAAGAAAATAATTGGTAAGGCATGGTGGTAAATCTGAGTAGTTATTGATGTTTTTAAATAAAACCAGCTTGTTGATGTCAGCTCTATCAGTAATATTTTATTTCCTATATAAAATATGAGGCAAATACAGTAATACATTAACATTTTAAAAGTTAGAAGTTTGGTTTACATGAGAAAAAACTTAGGGTGGATTTTAAACGGTATAAAATAATGTGGAATAGCAGGAATGCAAACACTTTCCATTGGGTGAAATCAACAGATTAACAAATTAAAAAAAATACATAACACAATGCATGCTGAAAACATCTGATAAAATTCAACACAAATTTTCATTTAGAATTAGAAGTAAAGGCTGGAAGAGAACTTCAGCAGGATAAGGGGTTCCTAGGAAGAAGCAGCTTACAGTCTTGTATAGTAAGCACACTATTTGGCAGTTTTCTGGGATAGCAGTTGGAAAAACTGAGAAAAGCCATGGCTAAGTCTGCCTAGATTCATGGGAAAAAATACAAGGTAACCAACAACGTAAGAAATGTGATGATTTCTTGGTTTTGGGAGAAACGGGAGTGGCAGTATGATGCTGGACAAAGACTGGAGTTTGAGAGAAACATCTGATACAAAATGAGGGAGAATGAAGGGATCTGATTATGACCTTGTAAAGAAGCCCAGAAATCTGAAGACACATTTTCTGGTATCTTTGGGCAGATTTTCTATTTAAAGATGATATCTAGAATCTGTCTTTACTTCCTGACGTCTTCATCTCCTACTATCCGTAGTGTGCAGCGAAAAAGCCATTGTCCGCACATGCAGTGCCCAACTTCCAGTTTGTTGGATACTTAATGTGAGAGATTATGGCAATCCCAGAGGGCCGCCAGCAGGGCGGCCATAGTTGTTGTGTGTACGTGGGAGTGGGGGTTCATTCCTGGAACAGGCGCCTCCGGGCCGTGCACTGAGGGCGCTCTGGGAGCTCCGGGCGCGCGTGGGGACCTGGACTCGGAGAAGGAGGTAGAGGTTGGAGAGGTGAGCTGGGGACAGGCTCCAGAAGGTGGAATTGCTGGTCGAAGATGGGGCGTGGAGAGCGTCTCTCTGAACTGGTGTAGGGGCTGAACATACTTATAATGGAGGAGTAAAGCCCAGTGGCCGAGCCAGCTGGGGAGTCCATCCAGAGCTCCAGTAACTCGGGGTCCGCGTCCTCCTCGTAGACCTCCTCCTGGGCGGCGACCTCTGGGACAGACGCGCAGAATTCCTGCTCGACGACGACGTCCTCCCCGAGAGCGCCCAGGAAAACGTTCGTTTCTAGGAAGGCAGACAAGTCGCCCTGCTCTACTAAGCGTTCGTCGACGGAGCTCAGGAAGACCTCGGAGATCAGGAAGAGGGTGTGTCCACCGAGAGACACTCGTATGATCGACGTGGGCGCAGGCTCCAGCACCAGGTCGACATCGTCCCGGGACACCTTCAGGGCACAGCCCGCGGCCAGGACCACCACGAAGATGGGCGCCTCCGCGGCTGAAGTCCCCGCCGGGTCTTCCAGGATGGGCGCCACGCGGGGTTCGGGGGCCGCTGGCTCCTCCAGTCGGCGGCGCTTGGCAGGGCCGGGGCCTCCTGGCTGCTGTCCCCACCAGGGCGCAGGGCAGGCGCTGGGGCTGCGGGGTCGGCTGCCCATCACCTCGACGGCGCTGCGGACGGCGCTCTTGGGCCTAGCAGAGAACGTGGGGACCGGGCCGTGAAGTCCTCTTTGAGGTAACAGGTGTCGGTGGTAGGCGAGGCGGGTTGAGGAGAACTGGGCGCAGGATCACGCTAAGTGGGGCGAGTCCTCGGATCTCCAGGGGCGCGTCCCGGAGACCGCAGTCCGTGCAGCTTGGGGATGTCTCGCCGGCCCCCAGGCTTGGCTTCGCGCGTTGGAATCTTGGGACTTCCTGGCGCAGACCCGGATGCGCACTGCAAAACCAAGTGTGTTGTAAATGACGGCAGCGTTATGGAAGTCGCACAATGTCACTCACTGCTCTGCCCCCTGGAGGACCCTCCCTAGAGGCGGAGGTATCTGTGCTGTCCAATAGTCGTGACGGTAGTTGGTAGGTCACGCTGTGGAAATACTCTTACGGGCCCCTAGGGGGCAGGATGATCAGTATAACTTACTCGGAAAAATGATACAATAGTAATAGAATTTCAAAGATGGCGCGCCTTTAGAACTCATGTTTTCTTGTGATTTCAGGGATTCTCAGAAAGCTCTCCCTGACCCATCGAAACACTACGTACAATTCCTTTAGTGCTGGTAAATTATTTCATTTTAGGAGTAATCAGAAAATATAGATTTCTATTTAGGAATTTTTTTTTTTTTTTTTTAAGTACTAAGTGAAGCCAGGAATGGTGGCTCGTGCCACATCTTCTTTCCTGTTCTCTTAAATTGTTCATGCTCCTAGCAAAGGCCACCCATTCCACTTGTGCAGTTGATTTAATCTCATCTTGCCTTCTCAAGAACTTTAATAATTATGTCTCTGTCCTGGATCATTTCACATTTTAGGTATCTCATCAAATTTTAACTACTAAATCAATATCTTCAACATATAATTTGAGAAGAAGCCTATTCTGTGTTAAACAGAAACTCTTGACTTAAACCCCTCCAGTTTCTACACCATTTTCCTTATATACCAAAACTCTTGAGTTAGTCAACAATGCTTGCATTCTCCAATTTCCTTTCTCCCATGCTCTTGTGAGCCCATTCTAACCAGACTCCTGTCTGTGCCAGTAATCTATAAGCCCTCTTACTAAGGTCACCAATGACCCCTATGTTATTATATCCAGTGGTTAAGTCTCAGTCCTTATCTTGAGCTATGAGCAACATTTGACACAGTCAATTACTCTCTCCTTTTAACATTTACTCCCTTGCATCCAAGATCTTTCACTCTCCCAGTCTGTCTTTGGCATCTTCTTATTTTTTCCCCTCATTCTGAAGGTTGGAGTATTTCAGGACCCAGTTCTTGACCCTTTTTTTTTTTTGAGACGGAGTTTCACTCATGTTACCCAGGCTGGAGTGCAATGGCGCGATCTCGGCTCACCGCAACCTCCGCCTCCTGGGTTCAGGCAATTCTCCTGCCTCAGCCTCCTGAGTAGCTGGGATTACAGGCATGCACCACCATGCCCAGCTAATTTTTTGTATTTTTAGTAGAGACGGGGTTTCACCATGTTGACCAGGATGGTCTCGATCTCTTGACCTCGTGATCCACCCGCCTCGGCCTCCCAAAGTGCTGGGATTACAGGCTTGAGCCACCGCGCCCGGCCAACCCTTTTTTTTTCTATCAACTTTTACTCTCTTATGTTCTATGCCATCTGTATGTTTGTGACCCTCAAATATGTGTCTCCCTCCTGTACATCCCCTATGAACATTCAATTGCACTGTCAACATTTTCTCCTGGATATCTTTTAATTTGAAACACATGAACTTTTTATTTTTTATAGGTCAGAATGGTTAAATATTTCTCATTTTATATATTTCAACATAATAATAGGTGGTTCAAACTTTGGGTCCAAATTTGAGCTCTTTGTATTTCCCCAAAGCCAATTCTCTCTAAGTATTGACCATCACAGTAATCGGTTACTCCATCCTTCCTTTTGCTCGAACCAAAAGTTTGGAATTATCCTTGAGTGTCTTTCTTTCATGCTCCATAGCCATTCCATCAGGACATCCTAGATCATGCCACTTCTTTTTTTTTTTTTTGAGGCGGAGTTTCACTCTTGTTACCCAGGCTGGAGTGCAATGGCTCAATCTCGGCTCACCGCAACCTCCGCGTCCTGGGTTCAGGCAATTCTCCTGCCTCAGCCTCCTGAGTAGCTGGGATTACAGGCACGCACCACCATGCCCAGCTAATTTTTTGTATTTTTAGTAGAGACGGGGTTTCACCACGTTGACCAGGATGGTCTCAATCTCTTGACCTCGTGTAGATCATGCCACTTCTTACCATCCCTCCAACTACCACCCTACTACCACTTTTATCTCTTGAGTAAATTACTGTGGAAACCTCATAAATGGTTTCTTTGCATCTCTCCTTTGTCTCTTTTCAGGCTAGTCTCCACACAATAGCTGGAGTTGTTCTGTTAATCCAAAAGTAAATCATGTCACTCTGCTCAAACACCTCCAATTTCTATGATTTTCCTAAAAATTGATGGCTTGCTTACAGATTTGCAATTGTTCTTCTCCAGGTTAGAACACTTTATATCTCTTTATCTGAGTGTTTCCTCACTTCTTTCAGACCATGTTGCCAGCAGCTCAATTTCTGAGGTTTCCCCTGATCACACTATCTAAGATGGCAATCACTGACCCTTCTACCTCTCCTATCTTAATTTAATCCTTAGCACTTATCAGTATTTAACATGTGGTGCATTTTATTTATTTATCTTGTTTATTGTCTATATTCTCTTCACTAGACTATAAGCTCATAATGGCAGCAATTTTTAACTTTAGCTTTTATTTTGCTCTTTGCTGTTTCTTGGAACACTCTCAGGTGTATGGTGGACAATCAAAAATATATGTTAAATGAATAAATACTTTTTCCCCATAAATTATGAACAGTTCTCATTTATCATTAATCTCTTCAAATATTGCCCTCCACCCTATTTTCTCTGTTTTCTCCCTCTGGAACAACAATTAGTCATGTTAAAACTTCTTCTTTTCCTTTTTAATAACTACACCTGACTGGCTTTTTTTTTTTTTTTTTTTTTTTTTTTTTTGGAGAAGGGGATGCAAAATTAACAATGTGAGACAGTTGGGACCTGAGGTTAGGAAGAACACTCTTTCCTCCCCATACGTGACCACTGACTCAAGTAAAAAATAACCAACTGTGGGAGAGCAGCTGCTGCTCTTCCTTTCCTTTAATAGCTCTTATTCCCTTTTTGTTGATTTTTGTGTATTCCCTTCTATGATAAATTACAGATAGTTTTCCCAGATCACTAATTCTCTCTTTAGCTGTTTCTACTCTGTTGTTTAAATGCATAACATATATTTATCTAAATGCTTACATAGTATATCTCTGGATGTTGCTTTTTTTATGCACGTACATGAGAATAAATGGAGGCTAATTTTAACTAATTTTTAAAAAGGCAGTTATGTCATTTTTGACAGTTTCTGTTTCCTTAGCCTCATTTCCCTTACTGTATTTTGTTGAAAAATTTATAGATACTATTACAATATTTTGGATCTGGTAAATATCTTCATTGTTTGAGGGACTGAATTGCTGTTTCTTCTTTTAGCTTTCTCTAATTTATGTTGAGTTGTTTCTTAAGTCTCTGCTTTGGAATGTGAGAGTGCTCATTGGAATTTATGTTTGAAAGAATTTTAAGGCCTAAGGAAAAGGAATATTTTCACAAAGAGGACATGGGATGCTCTGGGAAGTTTCCAGAAACATTTTCAAGTAGAAACCCTTTAACCTCCTCTTTCTCTCTCTGTTCCTCCTCTTTCTTGCCTTCCTTTACCTCTCCTTTCGCATCCTTCACTTTTCCTTCTTTCCTTTCTTTTCTCCCCTTTCCTTCTTTCCATAAAGACAGTGTGAGTTCCAGATCAGAGTCATATCAGGGCCATCCTTGCCTTGTACTTCTCTTGGTCTAAGTGGCTTACCTGGTGGGGTGATCAAGACATGCTTCTGAGGGGAATGAGCCTCTGTTAACCGTTAAATCATCTGGTTGCCAAACATTCTTCACTGCCCTCATTGTGAAACTTGCAGAGAAACTTTTATTTCCCCCTCCATCCAGAGGCAAGGTTCAGATAGACAAAATTTACTAAAATACCATCTCCCTTGGAAGATTTGGTATTTTAGTTCACTTACTGATATAGTCATATTTGGTGGTCTGAGATCTATGCAGGGTTTCTCCCATACAACTCTCATCCTGTTTGTGCATTTTGGTTTACCTTCTGATCCCCATATTTGCATCATAAAACCATAGCTGTAGGCCATTGTAGGTTTTTTATCATTTTAATATTTTTATCATTTCAATTTTCTCTACTTGATTTTAATGGATGTTAAAAAAAGTGTACAGCACTTCTACATATTTTGATTATGAGGGTTTTTATGGCCATTCTAGTCCAAAATAGATGTCTTTGATTATTTCTTCATGTGTAGAGTGTGCTCTGAAGAAATAGAAGTCACTATGTGTAGAAATAGATTCATCACCCTAGACTAGGACTTGAAGTTGATCAGCTGCTTATTCTTTATTCTATGCTATATGGGTGGGAGGCACATGATATAGTGTAAGTGTGTGTGTGTGTGTGTGTGTGTGTGTGTGTGTGTGTATGAATCCTAGTCAAAATAATAGTCAGTGTGAAGAGGGGATATTATTTCCTTCCTGCAAACCATTAATATTGATAGGAAAAAAATTAAACATAAATGTCAGTGCTCAAAATAATTAAACAATTTTATAGGGTCCAGAAATGGAGCAAAAGTACAAATCTTAAGTGCATAGTTCTTGTCATTTAAAATAAATAATATTTTAAATATTTTTTAAAAGTTCTATTTAAAATTTATAAACATTGCCTGACACTTGGTAAGCACTAAATAGATGTAGCCTTATTAATATTACTGTATACATTTACTACAAAACTACCACAGGTACTCAGTAAATTTTTGCTAAATAGATGACTAAACAGAGAGGCAAAGAGGAACCAGAAGTCGAGGTCATGGAAGTCACTGGAGGAAGAATTTCAAGAAGCTAGAAGTGGTCAGCTATGTTAAGTGACGAATCAAGGACTGAAGAAGACTGTCATATTTGGCAATCAGATGAAGTGACCTGACCAAGAAGCAGCTTGTGTGAAGTGGTAAGGACAGAAGGTAGACTATAGTGGGGTGAGGAGGGAGTGGAAATAAAGAAGAAGAGCTAGGAAAGTAGATATTATACATTCATGTGACAACAAGTATTGAGATAAGAATGACTACATTTGATCTGCTAGCTGAATTTAAAAAATCTGCTTACCAAAATGTCAAATTTATTGAAATATTGGGATATCTGATAGATTTTCCATTTATCTTTGAGCCTCTTGGTGTTGGGTAAAACTTCAGTGATTAAAATTCAAGTCTAGAGCTAGCAGGCAGAACCTGCAGGCAGAAACCTCAAGTTCAGAACTATGAAAAGATTTATGCTGGTGAAGCAGATGGTGATGTTCATCATGATGAAGTGATGTTACTTTATTAAAAAAATAAAGTAACTGGCATGTTTTAGAGTTGCTTAAAAATGATAATTAATAGTTATATAAGTATAAAATATTGGCTATCCAGAATTCAAATTATTTTTGACAATTGAACTTTTCTGGTAGCCTGGGCTTGTCCATTAAATTACATTTAGCCAACATGTGTGAAGATTTTTGTAGCATACTAAAATCTTCCCTGCCTCATAAGGCCATTGTTGAATTCATAGTCAGCATTATTTTGGATTCGTGTAGTTTACTGAATGGATGAAATGTGTAGAATTGATTGCTCATTTGCTAAATGGTGCCATATTGCTCAGACCTTTTATTTATTTATTTTTTTTGAGCTGGAGCCTTGCTCTGTTGACCAGGCTGGAGTGCAGTGGCCTGTGTGATCTCTGCTTACTGTAACCTCTGCCTCCTGGGTTCAAGCAATTCTCCTGCCTCAGTCTCCTGACTGGATGGGATTATAGGTGTGTACCACCACGCTCAGCTAATTTTTGTATTTTTAGTAGAGAGGAGGTTTTGCCATGTTGGCCAGGCTGGTCTTGAACTCCTGGCCTCGAGTGATCCAGCCACCTTGGCCTCCCAAAGTGCTGGGATTACAGGTGTGAACCACCATGCCTGGTCAGGCCTTTTGTTATTTTATTTTATTTTTGAGACAGGGTCTCACTCCTGTTGCGCAGACTGGAGTGTAGTGATGTAATCATAGCTCACTGCAGCCTTGACTTCTCAGGCTCAGGTGATCCTCCCACCTCTGCCTCCTGAGTAGCTAAGACTACAGTCTTACACCACCATGCCCAGCTAATTTTTTGTATTTTTAGTAGAGACAGGGTTTGTCATGTTTCCCAGGCTGGTTTTGAACTCTTGGGCTCAAGTGACTTGCCCTTGGCCTCCCAAAGTGCTGGAATTACAGGTGTGAGACACCATGCGGGGGTCTGTTGTTGTTGTTTTTTCCTAATAGGTTTATTAGCCTTCTCTTTTTTGTCAGATTGTTGTTTCTTACTTTTTACAGTTGTCAGTTTACCAATTGGTAGAAATTATTGCCTTCCTTTGATTTGTTATGGGACTGAAAATTAAATAGCCCCATTAAAAAGATAAGTAAACTGAGAGCACACGGGCTCTGAATGAGGATCTGAGAGACTATGCAAAGCTTTGTGTCATCCCTTTTGACTTCTCAGAGATCTCCTGATTCTTTGCGTGTTCTCACCAATGAGATCATATTGCAAAAGCATAAAAGTTCCTGGCACATTGAAAAACATTTATCAAACGAATAAAGGAGAAAAAAATATAGTCATATAAAAATAAAATGGTGCACAACTGATACTGGGCCCACTCATAGATCTGAACCTCAGAACATGAAGTGGCAGATGGAATTTCACCTCCTTTTAGAGGGTTGAAATTCTGTTCCCTGCCTGGCAGTCATTGACTAATGCTGACGATTTTGAGCCAGTTGCTGTAGAAGTTGTGGTTTGGGTTCATGGACTGGTTACTACAGAGATTGTTTAGATTCTTGCACTAGAGAGGTTGGGGGTCAGAGTTCCATTGTCATCTATGATTTGGTCATTGTCAATTTGTGCATTAAGTCTCTTAGTCCCCCCAACTCCTTTTGATCATTCTTTTATTTGTGAGGAGTGGATTTATTCAAGGGAGGGTAGAGACCAAGGTCTTCACTGCTTAGGGATTGTTTATTCATTTCCGTAGTCAACTGTGTTGCAAGATCTTTTTGGCCTTTTTGTTTTTGTATCATTGTGGTTATCATCTCATGAGAGAGTGGCTGTGCAAAAGCATTTAAGACTGCATGTAGGATGCAGACGACCAGCATCATGACCACTGTGACAAAAATAAACAATAATAGTTCATATAAGGTGTTTCAGAACCAGGAATCTCAGTTGCCCATCTTAGGCCAAGAAAGCAAATCCAAAGGTCGTACAAATCAACCTTAGAGAGCCAAGTAGCTTTTGCCTTAAGGTGATGTATAGCCTGTTCCACCTTGCCTGTTTCAAGTACAGTAAGAAATATTAGCAATGGTGCAAATGACATAATAACTAGCCAACAAGAAACCTAAAGCAATGTGATTATCTATCTATTCACATTAATAAGTTGAGGCTGATATATGTTCTATTTTGGATAGAGGTGATATTGTTAATAACTTCCATAATTAAGGATACATTTCTTACAGGATTTTTTATTTGTATGATTCTCACCAATGGGAGTACTGCTCTGATGCCTTGTTTAAACTATCAGTCAGTTAAGTCTGTCAAATGGAGTTCCTGAGTAATAAAGGCTGGCCCCACTTTGAGAAGAAGCAAGAGTATCAGTAAACACATATGAAACAAAACAAGATATAGGATTCTTGATCTGATGTTTTGGTGGAAGCTGTCAACCATCCAAGGTCGTATACCTATTCTGAAAGTATTAGATCAGATATCTGCTTCTAAAGATTGTTTTCTTCCAGGGCATCTGGGACCCTCAATTTGATGTCACATATTAAAATAGACTTTCAACTTTATGAAATTTTCAATTGGTTTCTTAGTTATGAAACATGAACACAAGAATGGACTCCCTGGAGTTTCGCTGCTGAGTTTTTTATTAAGAGTACCTGCTAAGGTTCCTTCCAATAAAGTTTAAGAGCAGTTTTTTTCTGATGTTTCTTCCAATAGATGAAATCTCTTGGCTAAAGATCATGAAGAGGATTTTTAGGAAGATGTCATTGGAAGGTAGCCTTAACCTGTTGGTGGTAGGATGAGGTAAGTACCTGAATCCCTTTCAATATTTTGACATGTCTTTGAACGATAGGGTGGAGTCTGGTATTGGAGGTGAACTCTCTAAATGTATGGGTATGACACTTACCAATTCCCAGGGGGATGTGGAATGTGCCCCCAAAACACTGGAATGTATGGCTTCATAGGGCTAGTAGGGGTATTTTTTTTCCAAGGGAGTTCAATAATTTCTGAAAGTTTGTTTTTCTTTTCTTTCTTTTTTTGAGACAGTGTCTCACTGTGTTGCCCAGGCTGGAGTGCAATGGCGTGATCTTGGCTCACTGCAACCTCCACTTCCTAGGCTCAAGTGATCCACTTCAGCTGCCCAAGTAGCTGGGACTACAGGCATGTGCCACTTCACCAGGCTAATTTAAAAAAAAAATTTGTAGAGATGGGGAAAAATATGTCTTCATGTTGCCCAGGCTGGTCTCGATCTCCTGAGCTCAAATAATCTTCCTGCCTTGGCCTCTCAAAGTGCTGGGATTACAGGCATGAGCCACCCACCCCGAAGAGTTTTGCTTATTTTAATTTAAGGATGCTATTGATGCTTTTAACCTTTCTAGGAGATTGTTGGTGGTAAGGGCAGTGTAGTTTTTCAGTAAAGGGTGATGTCTTACAGAGTTTTTAAATAATGTTTCCCATAAATAGTATGTGCCTTGATAACTTGATATAAAAGTTAGTATGCTCCAGGTCGGAAACAGCATCAAACAGATTTTTAGTGACTGCAAGTGATGTAGCTTTCTGGCTTGGAATAATTCAGCCAATCCTGAAAGTAGACATACAAAAACTAAAATACGTTTAAATCCCAGGAAGCTAGATGAAATCTACATGAAAGACCAGGTGCAGTGGCTCATGCCTGTAATCCCAGCACTTTGCGAGGCCAAGGTGGGAGAATCTCTTGAGTCTAGGAGTTCTTGACCAGTCTTAGCAATATAGTGAGACCTCATCTATGCTGCCAAATATATATATATATATAAAACATTATATATATAAGTACAAATGACATAATGACTAGCCAATAAGAAACCTATTAGCCACTCTTGGTGGCATGTGCCTGTGGTCCCAATTACCCGGGACACTGAGGCAGGAGGATTGCTTGAGCCTGAGAGGTCCAGGCTATAGTGAGCCATAATTATGTTGCTGCACTCCACCTTGGGTGGCAGAGTAAGATCCTATCTCCAAAAAAAAAAAAAAAAAAAAAAAAAATCTACCTGAAGGCGTTTAAAGTGCCCTTGAGGCTTTGGTTCCTGGCCATTTTTCACCTTTACATTTTTTTCAGAATTATGTTGACAGATGACAAATGATGCAGAAATAACCTTAAAAATTGTGGTAAAATACTTGTAACATCAAATTAACCATTTTTAAGTGTACAATTCAGTAGTATTAGATATATTCACCTTGCTGTGCTACTGCTCTCCAGAATCTTTTCATCTTGCAAAACTGGAACTCTATATCCCTTTAAACAACAACTCCCAGGACCCCTCTCCTCCCAGTGCCTAGAAGCCACCTTTCTACTTTCTGTTTCTATGTGTTTGACTACTCTAAATACTTAATATAAGTGAAATCATATTGTATTTGTATTTTTGGAACTGGCTTATTTCACTTAGCATAATGTTCTCGAGATATATTCATGTTATAGCAGGTGTCAGAGTTTCCTTCTTAAGGGTAAATAATTTTCAAGTTTATGCATATACCATATTTTGTTTATCCATTCATCCTTTAATGGATATTTGTGTAGTTTCAATCTCTTTGGCCATTGTGAATAATGGTGCTATGAACGTGGGTGTACAAATATCTTTTTGAGACTCTGCTTTCAGCTCTTTTGGATATATATCCAGAAGGGGTATTGTTGGATCATATGGTAATTTTATTTTTGAGTTTTTGAGGTACTGCCATACTGTTTTCCATAGTTACTCTACCATTTTACATTCCCACCAACAGTGCATAAGGGTTTCAATTTCTCCACATCCTCACTATCACACTTGTTATTTTCTTTTTTTTTCGTAGTAGCCTTCCTAATGGGTATGAGGTAACATTTAATTGTGCATTTGATTAGCATTTCCCTAATGATTAGTGATGTTGAACACCTTTTCATGTGCTTGTTGGCCATTTGTATGTCTTCTTTGGAGAAATGCCCTTTGGAGTCCTTTGTCCATTATTTAGTTGGGTTATTTTGTTGTTGATTTGTAGGAGTTCTTTATATATGTTGTATCATAGCCTTTTATCACATATTTGATTTGGAAATATTTTCTCCCATTCTGTAGGGTATCTTTTCATTCTATTAATTATGTCATTTTGACATGCACAAGTTTTTAATTTGATGCATGCCAATTTATTTACTTTTGTTGCCTCTGCTTTTGGTGTCATATTCAAGAAATCATTGCCAAATCCAATATCATGAAGATTTTCCTTTGTTTTCTTCTATGAGACTTATAGGTTTAGGTCTTAAGTGTATGCAAATATTTCCTCCCACTCTATAGGTTTCCTTTTTACTCTGTTGATACTGTCTTTTGATGCACAAAATTTAAAATTTTCTTGAAGTCCAATTTATTTATTCTTTCTTTTGTTGCCTGTGCCTCTGGTCTCATATTCAAGAAATTGCTATGAAATCCAATGTCATGAAACTTTTGCCCTATGTTTGTTCTAAAAGTTCCATAGTTCTTAGCTCATACATTTAGGTATTTGATCCATTTTGAGTTAACTATTTTTGTATATGATATAAGGTAATTTCATACTTTTTCATTTGGATACCAAGTTTTCTCAAGAAAATTTATTGAAAAGATTTTCCTTTCCTTACTGAATAGTCTTGGCACCCTTGCTAAAAAGCATTAGACTATATATAAGAGTTTATTTCTGGGCTCTTTATTCTATTCAATTTGTCTATATATCTATCTTTATTCTAGTATTATACTGTTTTGAGTATTGTAGCTTTGTAGTAAGTTTTGAAATCAGGAAATGTGAGTCCTCAAGCTTCTTTTTCAAGATTGTTTTAGCTATTCATAAAATATGAATTATATGAATTTATATGAGAATTACTATAAATTTTAGGATGGATTTTTCCATTTCTGCAAAAAATATTGTTGAGATTTTGATAGAAATTGAATTAAATGAACAATATTAATTCTTCCAGTCTGTGAACATGGAATGTCTTTTCATTTATTTGTGCCTTCATTAGTTTCTTTCAGCAACAGTTTGCAGTTATGTAGTTTTCAGTATTTTTTTGCCTCCTTAGTTAAATTTATTCCTATTATTTTATTATTTATGATGCTGTTGTAATCAGTTGTCATTTTAAAGGTTTCTACACCAATGCTGATTCAAGGTAGTAACCAATTTGTCTATACCAAACTTGTCCAATCCTTGACCCATGGACCACATTCAGCCTAGAATGGCTTTGAATGTGGCTCAACACAAATTTATAAACTTTTGTAAAACATTGTGAGATTTTCTTTTTTCTTTTAGCTCATCAGCTATTGTTAGTTTTAGTGTATTTTATGCGTGATTCAAGATAATTCTTCTTTTTCCAATGTGGCCCAGGGAAGCCAAAAGATTGGAACCCCTTGTCTCTACCACAATTAGTAGTTTCAAGGAGAAATTTAGCTAATATTCCATTGAAATCACCTGGTGCCACCAATTGGCTGTCTTGAGAGCACTAGGGATTATCTGAGTAAAAGGTACAACCAGATTTTTTTTTTTCCATTTTTCCTTTTCAAAATCAGGAGCTGATCATTGATTTTATGTAATGGCCTCAGAGATTGTCTCCAGAGATTTATTCTTTGAGGGTTTATATAGGATCATAACTTTGGTGAAGGCTGCTTGTTTGGCATAATAAGTTGCTAGAGCATTTCTTATAGCTTACATGTTATCTATTTGTTCCATGAGCTTCAACTTTTATAGCTACCTCTCCAGGAAGTAGGAGTGTGTCTAAAAATTCCTGAATTTGTTGCCCATTTTTGATGTGGGATCCAGTAGGGCAAGAAACCCCCTGTTTCCAAAGCATCCCAAAGTCATGGACTACTCTAAAAGCATATCTGCTCTTTGTATATATGTTAGCTTATTGGTCTTGGGCTAGTTGGCAAGATGTTGTAAATACAGTAAGTTCTGACATCTGGGCTGATTTTACTCAAAGAGAGCTTAGATTAGTGACTGCATATCCTGGTTGATAACCTCCAGTTTCAATTTTGAGGTATGAGTCATCAATAAACAATATTATAAATAATATTAGGTCAGGATTCTCTAAAGGAGTCTTTAATCAACCTGAGTAAGGTACAGAGAATTCCCTAAGGAAGACAATCTTGAGGCTCCTTTTCTTTTTTTTTTGTTTTGAGATCAAGGCCTTACTCTATTACCCAGGCTGGAGTGCAGTGGCATGACCATAGCTCATTGCAGCCTTGACCCCCGGACTCAAGTGATCCTCCTGCTTCAGCCTCCCGAGTGGCTGGGACTACAGGTGTGAGTCATCATGCCCAGTTAATATTTTATTTTTTGTAGAGGTGAGGTTGGGCCTTAGTATGTTGCCCAAGCTGGTCTTGAACTACTGGGCTCAAGTGATCCTCCTGCCTTTGCCTCCCAAAATGTTGGGAATATAGGCATAAGCCACCACACCCAGCCCCCCTTTCTTTGGGTAGAGGCAGAAGAGAGGTAGGATTCAGAGTGTTGCAGTGGTGAAGGGTAATATTGGAGGGAATGAGTCATAGAATTTCATAAGATATTAAGGCAGGACGCAGAAGCTCACGCCTGTAGTCCCAGCACTTTGGGAGGCTGAGGCTGGCAGATCGCTTGAGCCCAGGAGTTTGAGACCAGCCTGGACAATCTGGCAAAACCTCGTCTCTACAAAAAAATACAAAAATTAGCCCCATGTGGTGGAGCACGCCTGTAATACTTGGCAGGCTGAGGCAGGAGAATCCCTTGAACCTGAGAGGTAGAGGTTGCAGTGAGCCAAGATCGTGCTATTGCACTCCAGCCTGGGCAACAAGAGTGAAACTCTATCT